AACGTCTGTCGTAGGGTTCATAATATTCACTGCTCCTTACCCTGTGTACATATAAGCGTTCATCAGACAGTAGCTATAAGTACAACTAAAGTCACAGAGGCCAGCCAGATTGCCTGCGCCAGTTCCTGCAGTGCATACCAGAGGTAAGAACGGCAAGACAGAGGGCGTAGAAAGGGGGACCTCAACAGTACTATATACCGAGGGAGGACAGAATCCAAGATTGCAATCAAAGCTACAAAGACCACTATAGCTCACACCTTCCCCTGCAATCGGATATCCTGCCACGCCGGTCAAGTTCGGCTTTTTATATCCGAGTCCCATTTTTGTGCAGGTGTAAGCTCCTAGGGGACAGTAGCTATATATACAGGCGAATTCACACAGACCCCCAAAATTGTTAGCGCCAGTGCCGTTCATACACTTTTAGTCCGAAAGCAGGACACTCGTTCTAGCTAACACTAAGCGTCCTGTCGTCGCACTGCCTACCCAGGCGTTCCAGTTCTAAATACCGTTTAGGCAGCTTCCCGAGATAGCTTTACCCTCAATCGTGGCGATCACGACGTTATCACGCATCAAAGACACCGTAACAGGTCCAGTCCGACCATCAAATACGACACTACCATAGTAGACACCAATATCATCGTCTAGGACAAAGGACTAGCCTACTCTATAGGCATCGCCTCTAATAGATACTACAGCGCCAGAGAAAGAGCCTAGAACAGCGGAGAAGAAGATTCGATCTTAAGCTATCTCTGCCGGAGGAAATTCAATCTACAACTACGAGGCAGTATTGCTACTAGTGCCTCTACTTCCGCAAGCCGCTACAGGAGCTGTTCGGTACCAGGCAATAATACTCTCCTAGGTCACCTCTGCCGTACCCTTCTTATATATATCGATCCAGTAGGGCAGAGTAGCTCGCCAACCATCGTAAGGCATATCAGTTACGTAGTTAAACAGGGCCTTACTAATCTCAAATGCTTCTATAGCTTTGTCATACAAAGGTCCGATATAATACGATTCGCCATAATCATTCTATAAGATAATTTCAACAAACTCGGGCTGCACGTAGAGTACCTCCTGCTAGCGATTATACCAAATATAGTCGCCTCGCCATATCCAATTTTTCTTATAGCCCGGCAAGTTAGTAAAGAACTAAGGTAAGACCGGCATCATATACAGCATCCCAGCCAAGTACTAAATATAGGATACATCGATATAAGTGTTTATATCTTCATCACCCTAGGGCTAGCCAGCCCAGCTAAAGAGACCGTCCACGATACCTGTCTCCACAGCGGGCTTAGCTCTAAGGGATAACCAACTCGGAATGAAAAAGCAGTTGGTAGAAGCCTTGATTAAGGGCCAGTCATTAGCTCGCCCTAGTCCTTCAAACGTGGAAACAAAGGCTTTTCCGTTATAGAAGAAGTACGATGAATAAGCGCTGTACTAATTAATCAAGTTAATAACATCGGTCTTTAGCCAATATCCATTGCCAGCATAATCAAATAAGAAAAAAAGCTTAAAGCCGACAGCATCAGCCGCCGCAAAGGCTACAGGAAGAGCTTCGATATTCGTTAGGTCATTATAAGCTATATTTAAGGCGAAGGCATCAATGTGCGCAACTTGCGCTAATTGCATGTTATTTTTCCAATCACTAGAGGTATAGTTGGCCGAGTTTGTCACCTAGTTGTGCTGTCAGCAGTTGCAAGTCAAGTTCGCCGACGAGCTAGAAATTACTATGAAATAAGCGAAGACAGCCGCTACCTGCACTCGGCAGGCGAGCAGGAGAGCTGTGACCCAAGCCACGAGCAACTGTATAGCTGATGTTGTTACGTTGAACACTAGGCTCTAGAAAGTTTGGCCTAAGTGCTCTTAATGCCGTTGGATGTTCGTTCGCTTGAAAATAGAGACTTAATGCTCCTTTTCAAACCTACATTAGCGGGTGCCTCGGCTGGGTAAGGGTTCTATTCTTTCCGCACCTCAATAGTTTTATCACAGGTGGATTCTATGAACGAATTTAGACGCAAATTCCGGTGATGACCGGTGAGCTCGCCTGCTACTCGTTATTATAAGACTTATCTTGCTATATTATTAAACCAAGCGTTTTTACGCCTACTAGTATCCTATTCGGCCAATAACAATGCTATATCCACTCAGCTCCCAAATGGAGGAGACCCTCGGAAATATTGCGTTGACCCACCCCGCTAACGGTATGTATTAATTCGACAGGCGAACATATACTAGTACTACCATATAATTGGAAGTAAAACTGAGCACACAACCCAGCCCCTTCTTCGCCCATTTAGAGAGTTTGCTTAGTATGTACGGAGTATGTATGTAACGATAATCTAGCGTGCCAAGCCGCCGTGAGATAAAGGCCCACATATACTAGGTATTAGTTCACTGGAAAGTCGGAAACACTTTATCGCCGCAGGTCCGAATACGATACTCCATGGGCTATGCTCTCGCAGAGAAACGTGCTTTGCAGCACTAGCTTCGATTTGAAAAATAAGTCAATCATACAAAGAACTAGCGTAAGAGCGCTAGCTATTGTCGATACGTGGTTGAAGTCCACTGATACCGAAGCTCTTTCCTTTTCGGACATACAGCTCCGCGCGTGGGCACTGGGTAGAAACTTTGCTTGGTATAGGTAGAGATTTAGCCGATTTCTAGGCGATGTAACCCCATCGTGGTACGGAGTACATCCATGGAAATCGGTGATTAGCTTATCGAATGTTAGGTAACTTAGTAATGAAGATCGTTTTATTTGATCCCACACGTAATAATTCCAGTGCTTTCAGATGGGCTTTATTTACATAGACGCGCTAGCACACCTTATCTTATAAATACATACTCGTAAACAAAGACTGATTGAATCGTCTGGAAAATCATGCGACCAAGTAGAATTCTTAATATAATCAACAAAGGAAGATATATTAAAAGAACACGTAAAAGAGGTGTTAAAGGACGTAATTCTGGTATAAAAGCGGCATTAATAAAGATCAATAGACGAATCACATAAAAATAGTATAAATCAGACAATAAATACATTAAATTTCTATCCATGATATGGTCGAAAATCGTAGCGTGGGTAGAAATCGGACGAAAAGACCTATATTTCTACCCATGCCATACAAATTTCCACCCACGCTGAGCTGCAACCCGTTCCTTTTCTCTGACATGTCTTAATAGCTACAATACATAATAGCTATGTTTACACGAACAACCCAACATCTTCCAGACGACCAGGCAAAGTTCATTTACCCAAAACAGGCCGTACAAGCAATATCTTTCATTCGTAACGTTTGTGCTTATGACGCCAGAGATCGCGTTTAGCGTAAGCCTTCAAGAACGGAAGTTCAATTAGCCGTTAGTCCGTAGCAAAAATACCTGAAAAGGGGGAAGTACAGACCAAAGAAGCAGTACCTGAAGCTGCCTAAGTACTAGTCACAGCGGAGTGCAACGAGGGACTAGCAGTAGGAGCTAGTCGGGTGGTTGCGTTGACAGCGTTGGGCTTACACCCACCAAAGATAAACCCTGCATTATCCGAGACACTCAACGCCGTCGTACGATAAAGGTCACATTGATTTGACTGGTCAACATAAACCTATACTTAGCATATCGGTACCTTCTCACACCAGTTCTGGCAATCCAAAGCGGTTGCAAGCTCATAGCTAAAGGTCATAGGAGCGCTGTTGAAATAAGCAATTGTCTCATTGTGAACAGAGCTTTAGCAGTCAGACACAGCCTCACTACCTTGGAAAGCCAGCGCAATCATAAGCAGAATTGAACGGACGGAAGCCATAAAGGGAAGATGGTGAATAGTGCGGAAGGAAGAGTATAAGAACATAAACTATATCGGACTTCGATAGCCATTTCTAGGTACACCAGGTTGGCCTAATGTCCGGCTGGGCGCACATTCTAACCGAAACTAACGGGGCATAGAGTCAATATAGTATGTACTTTTGAAATTTCTCTGCCCCTCCTATGTTTTCTTTTATGTCTCTGTAATTCTATTCTAAGACCTGGATTAGCTATAAAGTTGTGACTGGCTACTAAAGGAGGTTGCGATGCCGATATCTGTAGCTAGAGTCCCGGGGCGCAAATTGTTAGTAAATCCGTGGAAAGTGGGTCATGTCTATTTGTACTACTGTAGATTGGAGCTTAGCTTCTTTCGTTAACAGAGATCGGAAAACTCCCTTCTCTAATGTTAAATCCTCCTAGGATTGCCGACCCTAACTATCCTAATTCATTGGCTTTCTCTATGGAAATTCCCTTGGCACGGCTGTACCGGAGATTGCTTTTTTACAAGCTTATTTACAAGCTTCTTTACAAGCTTCTTTACAAGCCTGGAGTGGACCCATGGCGAGGCTTCCACAATAGTCCCTGAGCCCGGCTCCAACCGTTACCGTGCGTCTAGTGGCCAGTGCGCTGAGCATAATCGGTCCTACTATACTCCTAAAGGCATTCCTAGAACATAGCGAATCGGAGTGCGAGTATTCTGAGACAATGCGAGCGCCATTTGAGAGCTTCATCCGAATGTAAGAGGAGGGAAATAAACTGTTGGTCCGCTCGTGGATCGAATCTCTTAGCGCTTTCGGTACCTCAAATCACACCCTACAATCTGCCTCGGCGTTCCACGATAGAGTAATAGAACCTGTTGTCGCAACCCTCGCTAACAATACACACGAGACTGCGAGAACAGAGACTACAGAAGTTTTTGGGGTTCAGTAAATGCCGACTATCTCCCTTTGGGCCTTCGCCGTCTCCGTAGTTACTACTTTAGCGCCTTCATAAGCCAAGAACGTCCCACCACAATAATCTCGCCATCCCATTTCGATTGCTACTTTGGGTATCCACTCGAAAATGCCGCCATGTCTTGGTCCGGTTATCTTGTACGGAGTAGAAAATGTTGAAAGATAGGATCCACTTCTGTATCTCTCTAGAGGGAGTATAAGACGAAATTCCCTGCACGTCGAGTGGTGACTGGGCATACTCGATCAACCATGCTACCTAGACTCCTTGCCCTGTTTTGGCTCTTTCTCGTTCCAGTACTCTGTACTGATCCTGCGATTGATAAGCTTTTTGTGATCAAGAAAACGGATATAGGTAGCGGCTGCAAGTCGCGCTAGCAGGCCGTTGAAACCTATCTAGCGGAGTCTAGAGCCCTGACCATAGCCGGTCTGCAAGCAATCAAACATACGAAAGATTCTTCCGCGAAGGAGTCCAACGTTGCTAAGCGGTATCTCTACACGTACTTCAGGGCGGATAATACAGAATCGATTACTTTTGTAGAGAGTAAGGGCAATCACCCCACAACTTCAATTTTTGAATCGACAGCCGCTAATATACTTATTATTCAGCCTTTATAAACGAAGTTAAGAACTTCCTAGAAGGGAACTCTAATAAAGCCACGCTATATCTGTTTTGCGACGATAAATAGCTTCAAAAGCTAGAGCGGACCGATACAGCCTGGAAAACCAAAAAGCAAGAATCCGTGGTCGAAGCTTAGCCAGATAGAACTTTTGCACTATTAGCAATTGAAGATATCGAAGAATATCGACCGGATCTTTGGGAGCAAGATAAGAAAGGTGTCTGGATCAAAAATGCTAAAATACCTTACTAGTCGGATGATTTAGAGGAGTACGTCTTTAATGAGAACTACGGTAGCAAGACTTATTGTACCGAATCGAACCAGAATCTCGGTGTCGCCCAGGACTAGACAGTACCCTCTACTATCACGCTGTGCCCCAGCGCCTTTATAAACTCTCAAGCCACTGCGAACCTCGGATCTAAGGCTCCTAAAGTTCGTATGTTAATCGACAATGTCCTGCCACAAAGTAGGACTTTCTACCACGAATTGTTCTATCTAGTCTTAGGTTCGGAAGATACTCCCGATATAGAATTACCTGATTGCTGTGAGTCCTTAACGAGAATTCGTGTGAGAGTGCATTAGCACCTATACAAATAGCCTCTAAAGACTCGTGGAAGATTACGCAACGTTAGCTCAAAAATTCACCAAACACGAAACCCCTTAGTTACGATGAAGACTACCAGCACCTGATCCGCCGTAACCCAGAGTCATATCTCTGGTTCAGCGTGGGTTACTGGCTTTTCCTGCAGACTCAGTGGTCCGAGTCCTCCAACTAAAGATAGAGTTTTGATACGGGAGTAGCTAAATTGATCTCAATCTAGAGTTGAATAGGTTGATGAGAAATAGAGTATACAATTAATTGATCATAGGTTAGAGAGATCTCGAAACAAAAGAGCTGCGACCGTACTTATAGGCGTGACAGCTCTTCAAAGTGACAATAGTCTTCCTTGAATTCCATGGAGCCGATATCACGAAGAAAACCATGAAAGCTATCTACTTGCGTCTCACCAAAGGAACTGATGTGTCTGGACTTGATGAGCCTCCAAGACGCTACCTCCTCATCTCTCCAGATATGTGGCCATAGCAGTAGCTGAACCTCTTCACCATGCAGGTACTCCGTACGAGTAGCCCAGAGTTTTACGGGAAGACGTGGTTGCCGTCTTTGGTGGGGTAGAACGTTTAAAACGACCGGCGGGCGAATACCAACGCTTTTTGCAACCCTTCGCTTTTGCTCTTCCGTTACTGGGACTTTAAAGTAGACCCAGAAGATATGGATAAAATGTCTGCGTCTGGGCAACGAGTCAAACCAAAATTGCGGATCTTTAGGGAACTCATAACATGTCAGGAATGTAATCCCGTCGCTCGCAAGTTGTTCTCTGAAAAGCTGAGCTGACGGAGAGCTTTCAAAGTCCCTGCACGCTAAGCTATTGGACCAATCTAGATATAAGAGCCTCGTCAGTAAATTGACCCTCGGAATCCTATGATGTATCGCTTCTGAAGGGTCTGACTTGCGTGTGCCTAGAATCACTTTCTCCGGGTTGAAGCGAAGCCGAGCCCATATTGACTGTTTGTGGCCCGTGGCATATACTAAGGGTTGAAAATATTCGAACCATCGTTGTTTGTCAGACTCATGGCCGATAGGCACCCGAAGCTCAGTCCACATAATAGTCGGTTCGGATGAATCGCTAGGATATTCGGACACTGATTGCATGCTGCCGGAATCGGGCAGAGCCATGCGGGGTTTTTGATTTCAGAGAGAGTGAGACAAGAAGCTCGGATTGCCCATCCGCTAGCCTGGACCCAAGCTTGATTATATAGGTCTTGCTCTACGTCACGTGATCAGTATAGATCCCAATCTCTCGGTCCATAACCCCACGGGCCGAAGCTAACTGAAAAGGGTTAGTCCCAACACGGAGATGGTTCTCATGCCTGAACTCTAAGTTACAGGCATAATTGACATATATTATACTAATCAATATTTCGAGAAGTCGTAGAAGTGCCCGTCGTTTGGGGCTCGCCTAATGTAAGGATTCATCACCTCGGGATGATGGGGTGCTAGAAGATCACAACATTCATAGATATCAAACAGTCCGTCCAGCATACTTAAACAGCTACCTAGGCTTAGTAGCCTTCCCTCTCAAGGCAGATACTGCTAGACTATCTGCCATTTCATTCTGTTCCCGAGGCACCAACCAAAATTTAACAGAGCCATCTTCTTCAAATAGCTCAATCAGCCGCTCGATCTCTTTGAAATAGGTGGAATTCGCGACTGGCTGGCCTCTGGCATTTTTCCAGCCATTCTTCTTCCACGAAGCCACTCGGGAGTTCTAGCCGTAATTCCAGCATAAAATAGCTGGTACCAAAGTCTCCGGTTATCAAAATAAGCCAGTAATTTCATCATTTTTGCCGCATCCGGATTTTCCTTCTCTAGGCGAGAGTATGACGAATCCCACGTTGTGTAGAGCGTACGCTCTTGATACTCCTGGAGTAGTAGGGGGACTTGACTAATATCGTGTCTTGCTTTTTACCATCCGTCCCCGCATTGGCCGAAATAGGAGCATTGCCAGAGGCGTTTGCATATAATTTGGATGGGCTCAAAATACATGACTAATCTATGCGGGTGATAGTATCTCCTTCTTCCGAATCCACCTACCTGCTGTGTTCCGATAGGTGTCTCACACCTCAGGCACCAACGGGGTGACAAATCCATATCACGTGGCAACAAGTGTGTTAGCCATCTTTGACCAGCTTATACTGGAGCACTAGTCCATACTAGGTCGTGTGCTTTGGCTCAACTATGCCAGTCAGCATACAACACGAGAGCAGCTTAGTCCTGCTATTCACTAGGAACCACTCAGTGCCCTGCTCGCAGCTTATCGTTACCACGTGATTTTTCAGCTCCCTTTGCCCTCCTGGCATAAACAAAGCGCACTCTGAATTTATCCTGACCTCTCGCGCCTCCCATGGCAGTTGGAATTACTCCACTAGGGAGTGTCCTCGAGTCTCCCCTCACGCCACTACCCACCGAGGAAAAACCATTGTCAAGGAGTGCTCAAAGCGTCGTGAACTTTTTGCAGCTCCACCTAGTAGGTCATCGGCCACAACCTTGGTGGGAGCGTCGACTCAAACCGGACTACTATACACAAGTCTTGCGTGTGTTAGATACTGACGAATCTCTTCGGAATTACGTGGAGGACTAAGTACGGTGAGTATTCCTAGGTCCTGCCTTATTGACACAGGCGTACTGAGATAGTTAGTCATAGGTACGACTACGATCCTTGCCGTTATTGCCTGGTAATCCGAATACTAAGTCCTCTCTATAATATATTTTGTGCGAAGATTGTCGATGAAATATCAAGGTAACTAAGGCAATTTCAGTAAATCGATAGGCCCGTTGCTGACTTCGCTAAGGAGGTCGAGCATTTTGCTACTTCGCGAATCTTAATACCTAAAGATACCGGAGATGGAAGATAGTCTTATTCTAGGCGGGAACTGGACGTATCCTTTAGCTACCGCTAGGTATACTACCCCGGTGTAATCGTAGAAGTGTGCTATTCACAAAAGAGGCAACGGGTCTTATACCTAGCTGATAAGTATATTTTGAATACTAATAGAAGCGCGAACGCTGTTATCGCCTTTGATATTGACTACAGAGGTTCTAAGAGAGCGACTGTTACTATATAGCGACCGGAATATATAACAGTCGATGGTGTAGAGGAGTTTCGGGCCACCGCTGTAGTAGAGGCGTAAGTACAGCTATATCAAATCTACTATTTCCGACGGTTAGATACTGACAGATAAGTAGCTATTTCGGACGGACTCTGGATTTCCAGTTGATGGTGTTTTGATACAGCTATCGCTTAGGGACTTCGGGACAGAAGACCTATGTAGCGGGAGGCCTGGGCTCGACCGACAAATTCATATTATATCGGAGCAGCTCTGTGATTTTCTCTCTAGTGCCGAAGCAAGGCAACAGTCCCAGACCCAACTCTAAGGCTCAATCAATCGAGTTCGACCAGGCGTTTTGAAACGTCCTCGACCCCAGACCCCGCCAGAACAGATAAGCTCAGAGGACGAAGGATCTGTCGAAAGGAAAAGGGACAGCAAACGTGGACGCCGAAGTAGCGACTACCGTCCCAGCTCCTCTTCGGAGAACTCGAGGAGCGAGTTTTGAATGTGTAGATACAATGCCGTTCTCTTTCTACTTGCTGCAATACAGGTGGGGAAGGGAAGGAAACACGTTGTGAATAAGATTGTGTTTACTAGTTGTAGATCAAGGTAAACACTTTCTAAACGAAATCATTATATGACATAGATGACTGGCGTGGTGACGGTATTCTTTATCCAAGCGTTTGGGGCCAGTATTCAGTACCTCCCTCAGATTGGTAAAGCTCTGGAATATACTCCGTAGTCTTCTGTGACGGTGAATTACGCATAAGAGTTTAGCGTGCCGTTACGGGTTTAGCGCCTCCCTTCACGTTACTATCGCCGTGCGTGTTTCTATAAAGTCCCCTTCATCGCCGCTTCAACTTCGAGCTGTTTTTCGCCCTTCTACTCATCCTTTCCCTCCGTTCCTCGTGTGCGCCTTGCGGGTGAGGCATTTTTGCCATTGATCCGGACCGCCGAGCTCCGTCACCCCCTGTACCGCCAGCGCGAACCGGCCGGCCCTTTGCAGCCCTTCGAGCCCGCCAGCGCAGTCTGCGTTGCTTTTCCTGGCCCTGGCCCCATTTTTCGCTCAGCTCTCATCGGATAAGGCAATTTTGCACTTGGTCCGCCGCGCCGACCTGAAGTTCCGGCCTCTGTTATGTCTTATCGGTCGGTCTGTTGTCGAACTTCTGCGCATCCAGGCGTATGTACCTACACTCTTTCTAGACAATCGCCCGTGTGCAGCGGGGCTTCAAATCTGCCTTAGGGGCGCAAATTGAGGGCGACGGTGTTGGAAGCCCTAGCTGATGGCGTCCGTATCATTCCTGAACCGAGGGAAGACCAAGATCTGACTGGGCAGCGTACATAAATGACTAGTCAGTCGTAGCCGCTGTACGCGATAGCTAGTGATTGCGAAGTCTGCGAGAGTTGACGAGATAATAGCAGTAACGCTCTGTCCTTTCACGATGATCTTAAGGCTTCACGTCGCCTATATCGAAACTCAGGAACAACAACGATCTCTGAAGCTGAAGTCCTCTTCAGGCGACCTCGTCAGACTGTATGCAAACATCTATTTCCGTCGACCTACGTAGTTTTTCCTGTCGGCACCTATATCCTAGAGCTCCGTTAGCCCCTGCTACTAAGTGCGCCTTGTCGCCGAACTCCTGTTGACTTTACGATCGATTAGCGGAGAGGATAAGGTAGACGGTTAGGGAAAACAGGGTTTTATACGGATTAGCGACAACGATAAAGCCGTTGTCTCTATGTCGGTGCGTCCTGCGCGTTTTGTCTTCGGTCCTAGGCTACAGAACGACTAGTAAGCAGAGCTCCGTAGCAACCGGATGCAGACAATACGCAGACATAAGGTTCCCTAGAAATAGCAACAGTGCTTTGCAATGTGACTATCGGAGCAAGCGGATGAGTAGGCGAGTTATTCGTGCGGTATACCCTGCACGCTGTATTAGTCACAGAATCGATTAGCAAACAGGTCTTATCTAGATACTATCCTGCCGGAGCTTTTGCCTTCTGAGCTAGAAACTTCTCCGAGTGAGTCCGCTGTAGCTTAGGGGTTGGACAAGGTGTGACCGACCTAACGAAAAGGTATAAAGCTATGTATCTCGCACGCCCTCCTCGTGGAAAGGCAGTGAAGAATCCAATTTAGTTTTATTTTATCCAAGCGCTTAATTTTCCCGAAGTTATCCAATGCATATTTATCTCCATCTATTTATCTCTATCTTTTCTATTGTTTCCAGTGACATAACATCTTTCACCGAGAAACCACACGAAACCTTCGGTAAGAGATCTTCTATATCTATGGTTGATTTCACTAATCTGATATAGCGAAGATTCAATCACCGCTTGGCCGTGTGAATGGCCTGAAGTAGTCGTACGCGACTCTATCGTTCCCCCCGAGTTAGGCACGCAGGTCAATCCTATAGTGATCGGAGATGGTCTTGCTCCGTTGGGCTCGGCTTCTAATCCTATCGTGATCTATGTTGACGAAGATTGGTGTTATAATAAGATAGATCGGTGTGATTCCGATACCGACACTGTGGTTATAGCTACACCGGAATTCTAGGAGGCTTTGATTGATAAAAGCTTTTCTATCCCAGCTGACGAACGTGGAGCTGTTGGTTCGTCCTCTGTCCGTGCACCAACCAGGTCGTTAGCCCAGGCGGATCCAGAAGACCTTCATTCCTTCGGGCAATCATCCGAGAATAGTTTTTGCCTTGATGATATACCACTGAAAACGGCCGAGAATTCTTTCAACGGGCTGCAGAATTGCTCTAGCCCTAAGGCTATAAGGCGTAAGAATATTGTAAATGGCCGAGCGAGTAAGTTGGCGGACGACTTTTTACGCCTATTATATTAACCATTTTTAGATAGCGAGAAAAGCACGGAGACAGGCAAGGTTTCTTAGGCTAACGAACCCAGTGATGTTCATGAAAGTTCTTCGATAACTAGCGACGCTAGAACTTAGGAAACAACAGGCCGAACTAGTACTTCCGATGTGACCGACCTGCCGTGTGGCCCTAATACTGCGGGATCAACGAAGCACAAATTACTGCATGCCGAAGGCGCCTCTTCTGAACTCAGACGATCGGAGCGACTGCCAAAAGAGCTCGAACTTAATAGCGATGATTGCTTTTCTTTATGTATCTATTCTTCGCACTTCAGCTATAGCAAATACGAACAACGGTGCATTATTTCAGGGATCTAGTATTGACCAACTAGCAGGGTGCTGAAAGTATATCTCCAGGCTTAGTAAAATGTCGAAACGCTGCAGGGTATGTAGGTGGATACTTAGAAAGGAGAATATATAGTAGTCCGAAGTCCTCGCGTAATACGGAGGATTCAGTCATAAGCCAGACCCCATAACTACAAGCTTATAGCAATGCAATTCGGACCTGTTATATTTCTATTAGTTAACCTATGCGATTACCTTTCTCTGTGTTCCGTTATAAAATGAGCGTGATTCGTTTGCCGTTTCTAGTTTTAGCGCGACGCGCTAATACTCTAGGTGGTGGTTGTCCACTCTGGGTCTAGTGCCCCCGAAAATAGTCTAGTTTCCTATTCAGAACAAAGGGCGCTCGCCAGGGTATCCGAATGATGTTCCAGTCCATCAAGGATCGGGCTCACTCCTCGGACAAACCTCTTTTCCTATAACAACCACCCAACGTCGCTAGGCAAAGCGGGATGCAGTTTCTTGGTATTGACCACCCTACGAACCACCCCTAATCATATCGTCCAGCCAGCTAGAGGGTGCTGCACGCAAGCGCCCACAGCGTCACGGCCCCCAATATACATGTGTAACTAGCGAGAGCCTGTTGTTGTGGCCTGCCCCTAACCATATTCTTTTCAGCTTGCCTTCGTCTTTCTACAGTGGGATACAACAACCTTAAATCCTGCTGGAGGTCACTAGGTGATATCGCTCGTCCTACATAGCAACTAACCAGGCTGCGCTCTCCACCTAGCGGCGATAAGTCCGCCGCCGTCACGTCTCCTCCCTCTCTCCGTGTCACTCCAGCTTCCTCATCGAGGGGCGCGAACCTATCATTCCACCTCCCTATCTAACGGCCTCGTATGCTTTCCTCCACACCATAGCATCCTATAACGCTCTCGACAGCCCCGACTCCTATACGGTTGCCTGAATCGCTGCTCTTCCTATTGAGCAGGCTGCTGCAGAAGCTATACTCGATAAGGAACATACAATTCCAACCGGCTTCACTAGACACCAAACCGATACGAACGTTTATACGTAGGGTTACGTAGGAGAGAACAACATCGTTATTGCCTTCCTAGCCGCCGGAGTCTACGGAACCACCTCGGCTGCGACTACAGCCTCGAGCCTGCTTACCTCTCTACTATCTATCCGTATTAGTCTTTTAGTTAGTATAGGGGGCGGTATCGCTCAGCCGGACAAGGATCACGATATCCGGCTCGGCGACGTTGTCGTAAGCTAGCCCGGTAGGACTACGGGCGGTATCTGCCAGTACGATTTGATCAAGGCAAAGTCTAGTAACAAGCGTAAGCGCAAAGGCTTCCTCGGACGACCTCCGACGGTCCTCCTCGATACGCTTGCTAGTATCTAGGCTGATCACAAGCAGAAGGACTCTAAGGTTCCCTGCTTCCTTCAAGAAATACTAGAGAGGTACCCGAAGATAACTAAGAGATCTAAGCAAAATCCTAGCTATACTTACTAGGGCTTCGACAACGACCGGCTCTTCAAATTATTATACAACTATATCCCCGGCCCGGACTACCAGGGCTGTAACACAGCTAATAAGGTTCAACGCGATCCTCGAGATACTACCGAACCCCTTATCTACTACAGAACTATCGTATCTAGAAACACACTTATTAAAGACGCTGCTATACGCGATCGGATTGTTACTAACCTCGGCGAGGAGTATATCTGCGTTAAGATAGAAGCGGCCGGCCTAATAAACTACTTTCCCTATCTTATAATCCGAGGGGTCTGCGACTACGCCGATTCTTATAAGAACGATCGATAGCAACGCTACGCCTTAGCCACCGCCGCTACGTATACTAAGGAGCTCCTAGCGTATATACCGGCTGTAGAGGTCTAGGAGACTAAGAGGGTACTAGAGGTGCTTTAGTTAGGTTAGTTCTTATTCTGTTTACTAGGGCTAGACTAGTAAATACACAAGACTAAATAATATTTAAACTTTGAATATATCCTAACTACAATTAGTTTAACAACAGATCGATAGCGTACTATAGATAACTATTACAACGAAAGCGGCTACTGATTCTATTAGGTCTAACCTTCGTACCGATAAGTTATACGCTAGCTGTATCCCCCGAACCTATCTACAAATGCTAACTACGCGAGGACGCTCCGCTACGAGGGGACAGGCGCGTAGCTCCTAGAAAGTCCGGTTTTCTAGTCGTAGTATTCGGGGTTGCGTTGATATTTATAGCTATATAGGCTCGCCGGATCTAGAAAGACAGTTCTTAGTGTAACTATACTTAATTATCTCGCGAAGGGAAATAACTGTCTTATCCTTAGCTTCTTCTTTAACTTTAGCGAAACCACAAAGTAGACCTTAGATAGTATACTACAGTCGCTTACTTTCCAACTTTACTAAGGCAAGGTTAGCTCTACTATTTATCTTAATACTTTATTCTAAGCACACTAGAATAGTAAGGGTACTAGTGTAAGTGTCTTGATCGTTAGGGATTTAGGTGTCACCTCGTATATATAAGCGTGCTTTAAATCGTATAAGGTAGCCTGATTTATCTGATTTATAGGCAAATACCTATCTTATTAGGATTAATTAGTAGCGAGGGCAATCTGATTGATTAAGGTCTTTATAATTCGTCTAATATATATATATAATAAAGTTTGCACTGATTAGTTCAAATATATATATATCTAGAAGCTTGTTAAATTCGATCTGTATAGCTTAACGAAATTGACTCTCGAAAGGGTAGCTGACTAGTTAATAATAGCTAGAGGGTAGTAGGGGAATTAATAAAATCAGCACTTTTAGTTACTTACTTTAATCTAGTAGGAAGGCCTACGTAAGTAAAGTAAGGTTAATATAAGGGCGTTTAACCTTATCTAGGTCTCGGCTAGTATCTGAATTAGATCGTAGTTGCTTTAATATAGAGAGGGGTTCGTAGCTAGAGCTATTGAAGTTAGTGTTATCAATTAGTACGAATAGCTGTATTTAGTCTGATTAGCTAGAATTATTAGAAGATTTATCTGATTTTGGATTAAGTAGAGGAGTAATTAGTTAATCTCTAAGGATTTCGTTATAATTACCTAGAATAGTATCGTTTTGATTAGAAATAAGCTAAAAGTGAGGCGAATATAAGGTTTCAGAAGGTTGTAAGGATATAGTAGGGTCTAATTCGGTAGTAGTAGTACTTCTACCCCCTAGATCTTACTATATCTAGTCTGATTGTATATCAATATCGTTAAGGATTTATATAGTTTCCTCTTTATTAAGAGTAGTAATTAGCTGCAATAGGTTAGTGTCTTCGTAAATACGTATTTTTTGATTTAGTAAGGAGGGATTGTAGAATTCTTCTTCGTTAAATTGTACGTCTCGTACACAAATAATTCGGCGATTCGTAGGTATCTAAATACGCTAAATATTGTGTGCTTTATAGCCTACTAGGTAGCTAATAGCTGCGCGTAGTATAAGCTTAGCTAGCCTTAGTAGCTTAGTAATACGTACGTAGGCTTTGTATCTGAAGATTCTGATATTAGATAGATTAGGTTTAATCTAAAGCTAATATAGTGTATTATCACCTACGTAAGCTACGAGTGCTTTATATAGTAACTGCTAATTGAGAGATCGGTAAGGAATACGATTTTGAATATAAACAGCTATTATAGCTACCTTAGGCTAGAGATAGCTTAGTAGGTTTAAATTAATCGTTATCTGCCTAGCTATCTTTGATATTATCGTATATAGACTAATAGAATCTACTAGAATCTTCTATGTAGCAACTGATAGAATCTGTTAGAATTTTCTATATGGCAACCCTAGAAGATTCTACTAAGATATTTATAATATTAAGACTAGATATCAGCTGATCTATATGATACTATAACTAGGTCATATAGAATCTAGTAGAACTAAATAACATCAATACAATCTGCCTAAATCTCCCGCTTTCTTAATTATATAAGGAATCTAAATCCCTGAGCAGAGTGAACAGAATTCTAAGTCTTTTCTTATTTCTCTAATCTGAATATATACTATCTTATCTAAGATAGTAATTCTTCTACCACCTATTTAAGCCTACTTCCTATACGTTATAGCCTGCTTACAGATATTAATATACTATATCGCTTAGCGTAGCTATTTTGATTAGGTTAATAGGGCGGAGTAGTTTCTAGGTTAATTCTACGCGAAGGTGCTTCGTAGCTAAAGAAATTAGATAGGGATTACTCGTTATTAAAATAAATAGTAAGGACGCGAAGGTTAAATTGATTTTAGACGAAATTAATCTAATTGTAGAGAGATTATATTAAATTAGTTTTTGAAGAGAGATCTTTAGCTAGTTAATATTTAGTAACAGGATTAACTAAGTATAATAGGTATAAAGTTTTTGTAAGCGATTACTTAAAGTATATAAGGTCCTAGTGTATTAATTCGAATAGTCGACTATACTATATTAATAATTGAGAGACTTAATATAGTAAATTAGCTAGTTTATATACTTCGCAATAGCTAATAGGTAAGGATATATCTTTGATTGTAACTGTGAAAGGCTGAAGCAAGACTTGATTCAATCTAACTAGGCCAACATGCTGTTTACAAAAAGCTTGGAGAAGAGAAGGAGTGGATCAAGCGGAACAACAATAGAAGTAAGCAGACAGGGCGGTGGCAGAACGGAACGTGCGGGGAAGGCTATGTGGCAGGGCCACATAGTAAGAAGCGGGTCTAACCCGTGACAGTAACGTTTAATATATACTCTAGTAGGCGTGATATAATATCGTGGCCTATATAGCCTAATCTTCGGTGCTACTAATTAGTTATACTATTAAGCTATTTCTTTGTATAGGAAGATAGTATAACCTTGCTAAACTAGTTAGTAAGGGGAGATATATAATTATATAAAGTATAAGTAAGAGATAAGTAAGAGATAGGTAAAGAAAGAGAGATATAATTAGTAGTGTAACGCCTTATATCTATCGTTTTATCCTATTTAATTAGATATATACTAGATTTTGTACTTAATTAGTAGATAGGCGTTCTATCTTTCTCTTCTAATATACAGCTCTTACTGTTAAGATAGATTCCTACGCTTATAGTACGTTCTACTAATATTAGGTTAATATAGAATCTAGGGTAGTACGTAATATACTTTAAAGGAAAGGTGCTTCTATTAAGAGATTTTGTTAAGGTAACTATAAGCTCTCTGTAGCTAAGGATTATAGTCTTAGTATTTCCTACTATAATAGAGGAAATAACTAGCCTATAGTTTAACAGTAGATCTCTGTTATTTATAATATAGATTAATACTCCGGTATTATAGCACTATATATTATTTTCTTAGCAGAAACCTAAATTATACTTATTACCTTACTATCGTTACTTCGGAAGATATTATTAGTTTACTCTCTTAGAATATATACTAAAAATATATCTCTTTTAGTCGATTTAGGTAATTTGTCTAATTTAGCTATTTCGTCTGATTTAGGTTTATCTAATTTTTGATACTTTTTAATTATATACTAGTAGGCCTTTTTGAATCCTAGTAAGAATTTATATTATTGTTTAAATACTTACTAGGCCTTTCTACTAGGCTTTTAATCCTTTAGCCTAACTAGCGGGTTAATATAGCTATATTAATTAAAATCGTGATAGCTATTGCTTAGTAGACCCTTATATAGGTAGGTACTCTTACCCTTTTAGCCCGGTTTCGTTAACGTTTTATTTGATTCTGATTCTTTATTATCGTTAGGATTTCGGCCTTAATAGGTTTAGTATATAACTTATCGCCTATTATATATAGCCGGTGCGATTAGTCGATATTATTTAACGAAGAGATTAATTAATTTAGTGAGTATAGGCTGCTAGAAGCCCTAAAGGATTATATTATATTAGAATATATAGAAGCCTTAATCGCTTAGTTAAATAGCCTCTAGGAAGTTGTAGACTAAAGCGAGAGGGTCTTAGAAATAAGAGATATTAGCCTAACTTCCTTATAATTTATAAATAATCTACTTTTAGCCCTATATAGTAAGTTAAGAGGATTTAGATAGTAGCGCTTAGCGCTTAATTTTATCTTAATTACGTAGGATTTACCGATTCTTCGATTAGTTTAATCGGGCGAATATAGCGCGTAGCTATATAATTGCGTTGTATAGTAATAGGCCGTTAATAATCTTTCTTCCCTTAGGTATAAGAGATAATTAAAGACCTTACTTAAGAGACTAAATCGATCGTATATATTACTTAAAATCAGATCTAGACGAATTATATTCGTTAAGAAGGATTCTATAGATCGATATTTAATTTAATATAAGATTAATTAGGTATATAGGGGTCTTTTAGTCTGTATTAACTATATCTAATAGCTATAGCTTTATTAGCTCCTATAGTAG